TTTTTTTTTTTTTTTTTTACAAATCTATTGGGCTAGGTAAATTGTTGCTTCAACTACCTTTACAGGGAGGTCAGGGAACTTAGTTGAACCTCTTAGTTTATTGTCTGTACCACAGTGAGCAACACCAGATAATAATTTAGAATCTTGGTTTTAGAAAAGTCAGATTTTAAATCACTGCAGAAATAATTTTGGCCATACTCAGCTCCTTGAGGGGAAAAAAAAAAAAAAAAAGCTGAGGTATTGAGACTGTTAGTCAAAATCTTATATAACTTAGTTTTGTATCAGTTACCCTTTCAAAACCCTCAGTTTTGATGTGGCTGATGACCAATAGATTTCCTGCATCAAGTTGCTCATATTCTTCTCAGAATCAGAATTTATTTCCATGTGCAGTCTCATTTTCCACTGTCAGCAAAATAGGCAGAGTTAAGATTATCTTGATTTAGACCCTATGTCACTTGTGGACACAGTATTGACCTGGTATGGGACTACTATTCAACAATAACTTTGGCTGATTGAGTGAGTAGTGATTATTTTGGAAGATATGCATAAAATATTGTGAATAGGCTAATGTTGAGAAGAAATAGTAGAAAATAAGTAATAAATAGCAAAATAGCAAAACAATGTGTCTTTTGTACCAAGGTTTGTAAAAGGATAACAGGTACTTGAACTACTTCATCTCCAGTACTTTGAAAAGAAATTACAAAACTTACTTTCTAGAAGATTAAGACTCCACTTTGTATTTAAGTATATATTTTTAAAAATACTTCTAATTAAATATTATACTTAAGTCTATAAATACTTCCAGGTGAAATAATTTAAATCCCACTTGTTCTTGTTTTCTTTTGTAGTTTTCCTAATAGGATGGTTCTGGGAAGAACACACATAAAAGATGTAGCAGCCAAAAGGAAAATTGAGTTAAATAGTTATTTACAGAGTTTGATGAGTGCTTCAACGGATGTGGCCGAGGTGACTGTCCTGATTGAAAAAATAACCACATACTCTTCTTTGTGCTACATAATATTTAAACTAATGATTTGTTTTCCTCTTGTGTCTTAGTGTGATCTTGTTTGTACTTTTTTCCACCCTTTACTTCGTGATGAAAAAGCTGAAGGAATAGCCAGGACTGCAGGTGAGATTATTTTTTCTCTTTCTTGATAATTTACAGCTTCCTTATGACATGCAAACCTGTAATTTCTCAGTGAATGTGGCAGAGTGACAGTGGGGTTATTGGCAGTGGTCTGGTGAGAGTGAAACGGGGGTATTCTTTCCAAGGCCATCAATTTCTGGATACACATCATTTTCCCGATAGAGTGCGGTTACTAAAAAACTATAAATCAGTGGCCTATTAGGTTATTTACCTTTTTGTTTCCCCACATGCAATGGTCGTGGAATTATAGCAAATTTCTTTTGTTGTTGTTTTAACCAGTGCAAGCAAGATAAAATAAAGATGAACGTATTTATATTTTCAGATGCAGGTCCTTTCAGTCCTACTCCAGGCCAAATTGGAGGAGCAGTGAAATTATCTGTCTCTTACCGAAATGGTACTCTTTTCATCATGGTGATGCACATCAAAGATCTTGTGAGTGTTTACAAATAATGATGATTGTAGAGAAAACCTATACCTTGGTAAGAAGTATTACTGTTAAGGGAATGCTTTTCTTTATAGGTTACTGAAGATGGAGCTGACCCAAATCCATATGTCAAAACATACCTACTTCCAGATACCCACAAAACATCCAAACGGAAAACCAAAATTTCACGAAAAACTAGGAATCCAACATTCAATGAGATGGTAAGTTAAAATCATTTCTAAAAATGTCCTAGATTTGTTCTTTTGAGATTTTAAAGTTTAAACACTTAAAATTTTTTAGGTATCAGTTGTAGAACTATTTATTCTTCTAGTAAAGCTACTCAATAGCAATCTAGTGGTACTTAACAAAATGTTGCAGAATTGAACCTGCCATCATTGACCCTTAGGTTTTAAAAGATCTTAGGAGTTCTTATTCAACCACCCTTCCATGTTTGTAGCCCCTCTGCAACATTTCCAAAAAGTGGATGTTCAGTCTGTGCTGAAATGCTTCCAGACCATTCACTTTGATTTGGGCAGTTCCAACTCTTAGATTATTTTTTATACTGGGCTGAAATCTTCACCCCCTGCAATTTGCACTTAGTGGGTTTCAGTTGTACCTCTTGGAACCACACAGAACTACTCTTTTTCTCCTTCTGCGTGACAGCTCTTCTGATAACTGAAGTTCAAATGCCCTTCCTGTTTATCCTTTTAAAACGTCTTCAGTACTTTTACCTTTATTTGATAGGATGTAATTTAAAAATCCTCCTCTTCCTAATTGGTTTTGGTTTGCCAGCAACCCTCTTCATATAAAGAGTGCTCTAAACTAAAAGCAATAAGCAAAGCATCAACTGAACAGTGTGGAACAGAACTGTGACTTTGCTGAGTGACTCAGAACTTAGAAACTTATCTATTAAAGCCTGCTAACCCTTAGTTAACTACATTTTCAGGATAAACACCACATTATTTGTTTGCATTAACAAAAATGTCTAGATAGAGATTTGGAAGAAAATAAATCTGGATTTTCATCAAGGTTATAAGTTTGTTAAAATGTAGCCCTTTAAAAGCATATACAATATTTGATGAAGACCAGGTGATGTTATTCTCAAAAAGTAGTATTGGTTTTTTCTAGTTGGTAGTGTTGTACTTTCAAGAAATAAAATGTGGTCAGTTTTTAGTTATTATTAGGCAGTGAGAAGGACTAGATTAAAGTGATATTTCTTAGAAGTTATGATGAGGCTTTGTTGGGGGGAAAAATCTGTTTTGATGTGATATTTCAAAGAGCTTTTCAGCATTCCAGATTTGCTATAAACTGCATGTGTACTTGGTGAATTTGCAGTGAAGTATGGATAATCAGAAATTATCATTTCATGGCATATTAAATCCAACAGAAAAGACAACAAGAAGAAATTCTAACCCTTATTTTTTGTAAAATAATTATGTTATCCCATCTTGCTTCCTTCCATTCTCCGGCTCAGATTTCAGGCGTCTGCACTGTAACTGATTTTCCCTTCACCATACCTGCATCTCAGAAAATCCATGTTGTTAGTTTTTAGCCAATAATAATTTTCTACTTTGTGCATTTCTATGTCAGACATTCAGAGGAATGATAATGATAATCCAAGACTCCTGAATACAAAATGTGCATCTAAAGTATGAGACACATTCCACCAGATGTGTCATAGTCAATGCCAGCAATTGTAGTCTCTTTACTAATCTCACTTCTGTTTTTACTTAAAATAATCTGTAACTTACTGTTTCTTTTTGCCTTTGCTATAGCTTGTGTACAGTGGATATAGCAAGGAAACCCTAAGACAGAGAGAACTTCAACTCAGTGTTCTCAGTGCAGAATCTCTGCGGGAGAATTTTTTCTTGGGTGGAATAACCCTGCCTTTAAAAGATTTCAACTTGAGCAAAGAGACCGTTAAGTGGTATCAGCTGACTGCGGCAACTTATTTGTAAGCTAATGAATTTCTGAGCTTTGGAAGTAAGAACAGTTATAAACACGTAAACACATACACACTTATGAACTTTGTATAGTATTTTTATACTTGGACAGAAATTATAAAGTAAATGTACTTAACTGCATTTTGATACATCTGTTGGACCAACAGTCACATAATTAACTTTAAGAACTTGTTGAAGCCATTGCTGTTTTAAAGTCATTATATAGAATGCTATAAACTCTAAACTTAATATATAAGTCCTGACAAAGACTTTGAGTTGGTGAAGGATTTAATCCTTTCTTGAGCAATTCAGAGTAATAGCTTTAGTTTGGTCTGATAGTGCTATGTCAGTTCAGCCATCTATTTTGCATTGTTTCTTACACAGACACAGCATGTTTGTTTTCCTGTTTTGCACCTTTTATAGCCTTTACCATTGTGTGTGTTCGTAAACACCAAAGGAAAGGAAAGGTGCAGGATGTTACCAGAAAATGCAGCTGCTATTCACAGGGCCGAAAAGCAAAGCACAAGTAGATAGTTATGTTCAGAACTACTACGTAGTTTATAGAAGTAGGGGAAAATAATACTGCTTTTTATCACCCATGTCTTTAAAGCCTTTTTCAGAATAAGTGCCAATCACTGAAGTTGTAAATAATGGTGCCTTAACTTCATATGCTTCCCTGGCACTTCATTCTGATTTTTTCCTGACTTGGTAAATAATTAGTAAGTCGTTTTCACTCACTTTCAACTTACTAAAATAAGAATTATGTACATTTACTAATGTTTTTCCCACAGAAAGATAATTTTTTCTACTTCTCATGTGACTTAAATGTTTGATTTATGTTTTTGTTGCTCTATAACTGAATGAGATTCACCAATGTAACTGTATAATAAATTCCATCATTCCATTATAATCCTACATTTATTCCCAGGAGTGTGAATTGAACTTTGGTAATCCATCTCCATATATCTATACTCCTCTTCTTCATTAAGCAAGTGAAAATTGTTCACTCATGTTCCCATTCCTGTTTGGTAGAAGAACCCCATGAATAGGGCAGACTCCTCACAAGAGGCCCAGGACAAGATTTCTAGGGTCCAGACTGAATTTTAATGTAGATTTTTTATAGCAAAATTTGTCTTGTAAGCTGTCTTACTTATTTTTGTAAACACTATACATTCACATGAATTACTTAATATAATGGGATTCAGAATCATAAGGGACATGATTGAAATTATTCTACAGTAACCATTAAGGATAAGATCCATTTTTATTATTCACCTGCACACATAATTTTGTGTTTAGTTTGAATAAATATGTTTATATATTCTCATGGCTAGCATGGACTTTCTGACAGTTGTTGAATGGTAATAGAGATTGTAGTAATCTAGTTGCTGTGAGGTAACTGACAAAACATGTAATGAAGAATACCAGCAGAGAAAGGACAGTCTCCACTTCAGTTGCCCGTAACATAATTTTTATGAACTGTGCAAATGTTTAATGTAAATGGTGAAACCTACAGAGCAGAAATAGAATGGCTGAGGATGTATCTATCAATGGGACAGATTAAAAAAAAAAAAAACACTTGAAATTTTTGGTGCCTAACACTAATGGTCCATTTGTAGGAAACCCTGTTAGTATAATATATGAATGTCTTTTTTTTTTTTATGTTAAAATGTGTTGTCTATTTAATAACTTAATTAAAATGCAGATCAAAGCACACCGTTTTTTTTTTTTGCTTTTTCCACATCCAGTTAACATTTCTTTGTAGTGTACAAGTACTTTTGCAGATATAAAGAAGTGCTAGATATTTTCCCTTTAGCTTTGAGACCTAATTTCATTCCATGAGTTATCACTTAGCCACTGTAAAAAAAAAGAAAGGAAAAGAAAAAAAGTACTGTGTTGGTAGAAGGCCATTGTTAATTGGACTCCATGTATACTGCCTATTTGCAATTTGTTACAGCAGTGTCTTTCAGCACAAATAATAGAGCTAGAAAATGTGATGTCATTTTTCCATTACAACAAATGTGGATTTCTTACCTAAAAATGTATATTATGATTGATACTGTTCAGTTAACCAGAGTTCAGAACAAATGGTAATGTTTTTTCTTAATTTAACTCATTTTGTGCCTTCTTTGCTCATTAAAAAAAAATGCACACATATTTTACGTATATTTTAATGTAAGTTATTTCTTTGTAAAAATGCTAATCTTCAGCCCTTACAAAAAAAAAGGACAGAGACGCCTCTTTGCACTATTATCAGTAGATTTTTAAATCAGTTGTTTTTTAAAAAAACATTTTATAAAGCTTGCATTGAAGTAAATCTGAAGCAAAAGTTTAAGCAGACTCACCAAGACACTAATTTTTATGTATAATCACAATGTTTTATATCTATCTTTACTGAGTAAAAATAATTATGCTACATGTAAGTCCTGCACCAGAAAAATTATTTCCTTTTGCAGTGTTTTGGGATTTGGAAATAATGGTTTACTCCAAGAACCTATTATTTTCTCTACTGAGGAACCCAATGTAGAACTTGCACTGACATTTTTATTACTGCCTTTATAAAAACCTATAGGTAGCTAACTGTTAAGGCATGTATGATATTTGATAAAGTATCCTTTTTTCAAATTGAAGTTGTATAAAAGTTTCAATATCTTGCCTTAAGTTGGTTGACTGTTCTTGGATTCAAGTATTGTGGCACTTAAAAAAAGAAAATACTCAATTTTCATACTTAGACTTCAGATCAAAAAGGACTAAAGCCCCCACTTACCATAATCCATGGATTTACTTACATGCTGTTCGATTAGCAGTGCAAATATGAATGAATATGGCAAGTAATCTCATCTATAAGAACCAAATACTTTAATTATATTAGGGTAGTGAGTAAAGATGTATAATATTTTTATTAATACCTTGAATATATTCAGTGGATTGAATGTGACTTCATAACCTGTACTATGATTGTATTAAAATATTTCTGGAATAAAGGAACTCTGCTGTCATTTCTTTACTCATCAACATATTAACATTTTTGGTTCCAAACTTTATATGAACTCGGGGAGCCTGCCTGGCTCAGTTGGTAGAGCATGCAACTCTTGATCTTGGGGTTGTGAGTTCAAGCTCCATGCTGGGCATAGAGTTTACTTAAAAAATAAATAAACTTTGATATGAGCTCACTGTTGTGTACTTTGTTTCTCACCCAGGAGTTTATTAAGTTCAAATATCCTGAATTTCAAAACTGATCTGTCAGTTGCCCTAAAAATCTGACTTCTAAATATGGTTCTTTGAAGATCTGGACTGCCACTTTGCCCCATCATTATTTCATATAATTGGAATGACAAAATATGCAATATTTACAGACTTCTCTGAGTATGGTCCATGGCCTTTGGTGGTTTACTAGACTAGTATAGTAACAGCATGTTATATATATACCTATCTATAAAACAGAGAAATGTAGATTTCTCTAATATTTTACCTCCATCTTGGAATAATCCAGTGTGAGGTTATGGTTCTCTGACCCTACAGAGAACATGTAAAGGGGCCCAGAGACCACAAAAAACTAGTAACTTACACAAAGCCAATTTCCTGGGGCAATAAACCCAGTTTTAGTGGGCAGTCGGGGGGGGGGGAACCTTAATTTCATCCTTTTTTTTATAATTTTTTTTAATGTTTATTCATTTTTGAAAGATAGAGACAGAGCACAAGCAGGGGTGGGGCAGAGAGAGAGGGGGACACAGAACTGAAGCAGTTCAGGCTCTGAGTTGAACAAGCACAGAGCCCCACATCTGCCACAACTCCCAAACCGTGAGATCATGACCCGATCGGAAGCCAGACGCTCAACAGACTGAGCCACCCAGGTGCCCCTCACCCTTACTTTTTTGAAAAATTTTATCACACAAAACTTAGACATACAAAATTAGATAGCAGGGTAATGAACACCATGAATGAATCCATCATACACCTTCAGTTACTTACCTTAGGCTAATCTTGTTTTATCTGTATTAACTAGGATGGGGCTTTTTTCTTTTTTCTTTTTTTTTTAGGATTCTTAAATCTTTCTTCAATTCTGAATAATTTATTGTGACTTCCTTTCCAAATTTACTACTTCTCTCCAACTGTTTTAAGTCCTCCATTGAGTTTTGGTTTTTTTTTTTTTTTAAGTTTTTTTAATGTTTATTTTTGAGAGAGAGAGAGACAGAGTATGAGTGGGGGAGGGGCAGAGAGAGGGAGACACAGAATCCCAAGCAGGCTCCAGGCTCAGCTGTCAGCACAGAGCCCAACACGGAGCTCAACCTCATGAACCATGAGATCATGACCTGAGCTGAAGTCAGATGTTCAACCCACTGAGCCACCCAGGCGCCCACTCACATCAAGTTTTTAGTTTTGGTTGTTATACTTTTCATTTCTAGAACAATTATTTGGCTATTTTTGTTTGAATCATGATCCAGAAAGACACAAGACTGCCACCATTAAAATGGTAAAGAGGTTTTTTAGCAAATGTTGATGGGACAATCAGCCACATGCAAAAGAACAGTACAGCATATGCAACAATTCAAAATAGATCAAAGATCTAAACAAAGTTATATAAAACTCTTAGAAGAAAACATGGGTGTACATCTTTGTAACCTTGGATTGGACCAGAGGTTTTTTGGGGTTTTTTTGTTTGTTTGTTTGTTTTTTTAATTAGGAGCCGGGGAGGGGCAAAGAGAGAGGCAAAGAATCCCAAGCAGGCTCTACATATCTCAAAACTACTATGAGATACCAATTCATACCCACTGGGATACCTAGAATTTAAAAGTGATAGGGTGCTCCTGGCTGGCTCAGTTGGTAGAGCATCCAACTCTTGATCTCAAGGTCGTGAGTTCAAGTCCCACATTGGGCATGGAACCTACTAAATAAAGGCATTTATTTTTAAGTCTATGCAGAGGGGCGCCTGGGTAGCTCGGTGGGTTAAGTGTCCAACTTCTGCTCAGGTCATGATCTCATGGTTTGTTACTTCGAGCTCCGCATCAGACTCT